TTGCGATGTGTGTACCAGGGCCCCCCAGGAAGCCTCAGGAGGCCCGACTTGGATACCAGAAGAGGCTCCAGGAGGCCCCAGGATTGTGAGTGTTGTGTGTGTGTGATGTGTGCTTTGTGTGGTGCGTGCTTTTTGTGTGTTGTCGGTGTTGTGTGTGTGTGTGTATGTTATGTTTGTCTAGCGTGTGATGTGTTGGGCGTGATTTGTGTCTCTGTGTGTGCATGTAGTTCTGAAGCCCCAGGAGGCCCCAGGAGGCCCCAGGCGGCCTCAGCAGGCCCAGGAGAACTCCAGGAGGCTCCGAGGCGGGGTCTGGGGTACCAGAAGGCCCAGAAAGCCCCAGGAGGCCCCAGGAGGTTCCAGGAGGCCCCCAGGAGGCTCCGAGGATGGGTCTGGGGCTCGATTTTGGGAGGATGTCTCAGGCGAAACCGCCATTCTCTGAGAATCGGGGTCAAAATTATTGAAATTACCATGTGTTTAAATGTGTATTTATATATATATATATATATATATATATATATATTTGTGTGTATGGCCTGATCCCCGCAGGTCAATCGGAGAAGAGTCCTCAAGCCCTTGGGGACCGTCGCGAAGGCCGCACGCCTCGGCCGCATCGCCCTCGCCCTCCCGCCGAGCTTCCCGAGAGCCTCCCCCCCCCTGGCGTCGTGGCGAGAGCACGGCCGCGCGCGCGGAGCCTAGAAGGAGGACGAAACTCTACAAACCCAAACTTGTGGCGCTCCGCGCGGACTTCTTGGATCTGCGCTGGACCCCCCTCCCTGGCGTGCTCTTCTTCGAGGGCTGGGCTCTCTTGCCTCCGGAGGCACTCGACGGGCACGAGGACCGGGAGAAACTGCCTGGCCGGGTGAAGAGATGGCACCGAGGAAAATGATTGGAGACCTCCGCGGGTCCACACGCCGTGAAAGAGCTGCGGCGCCAGAGGTCCTGGTCACAGCCCGACGCAACCCTGAGATACAATGCACAGTAGGGGCCCGACCACAAGAAACCCGCCACAAGAAACCCAGCCCTAAGACCCCAGGGCGCCCCTCGATTTCTGGCGCGGGAGCGTGGCGCTCTCCAAGGCAAGACCCTCGAAGCCCCTGGAGGCACCCTGGAGGCAAGCAGAGTTTTTCTTGGCATGGGCCCCCACTGCACGGCGAGGTCGCGCCACGACGACGACGGCACTGGTTCCTGGCACCGCGTGGACCTTCCGGCTTTGAGCGCTCGCGGCTTTTTCAAACTGAGCTTAAGTCGGGCGTGTCCCCCTTTCGGGGAATCTTGGGCGAAAACTACGAGATACTTAAAAAATACCCCCCGAATGGGCAAAAACAGTCAAACAATCGTCCCCTGACTATTTTCTGACTATTCTTGAATTTTCCCCCTGTAGAGGGACAGGCCCGACTGAAAATGGAGCGCACCGTTCGCCACTGGCCGACGACGAGCCGCCATATGGCCCCAACCGGCCCGCCTCCGACGGCCGGGGGGCCCCCGGTACCCCCTGCTACCGACTGCAGTCGGGGCGTTGACCTCAGGAACCCTGCATCAGGAACGAGGCCCCCTTCTTTTCCAGAAGTTAAGCTTCGACTTCCCATCGACAACCAACAAAAAACCTGAGGCGAGCTGCGAACCAATCAAGGAGCACGGGGCCCCTCCCAAGCGAAAAAGGGTCCTTCTTCAGCGCCCCGACTGTACCGACTACCGTTTGGACGAGACCAACGCGGCCGCCGTTGGGGTGATATGTTTTATTTTATCGGTGGCAAAACCGCATGCTGCAACGGATAGATTGGACGGCTAGCAGCGCGTCCGTTGTGCCTGGGTCCGTCGGTAAGTAGTAGCTTCTCTCTCTCGTGCTCTCTCTACATCATCTCGTTCTCTCCCTCTCTCTCTCGCGTTCTCCCCTCGGAGATCCTCTGACCCAGGTCAATCCAAACCCGGGTCAGTCAGGCCTTGCAGAATCCTGCAAGATCCTGCACCCAAACCCGGGTCAATGCGAAGTATCCTGCAAAACCCTGCAGGATCCTGCTCCCAAACCCGGGTCAATGGTCAATGTGACCCTGGCCCTGCAGGATCCTGTAAGATCGGGCGCTCTGGCTGACTCCCGTTTGCATTGACCCCCGTCTCAAGGCTCCGTCGTAAGGCATACAGCCGGCTGCTGGAAGGCAAACGATAGAGCACCCAAAAACCAGCCGAAAGGCAAGCTGAAAAGAAGGGGCGGGTTCCCGACAGACCCGCAACAACAAGGGGGTGGACGAATCACGATTGCAACGCCGCCCCTGCAAAGAAGGCGCCACGCGAGATTTCCCCGGCAACCTCCCCGGAGACACGACGCTGGGCCTTGCCCCTCTGGGAGGAGAGATAAGAGAACGAGGGAAAGGATACATCGGGCCTGCGCGAACTGGGGTTCGACGCTGGGGTTAGGTCGGGCCTGTCCCCTACAAGGTGATTTTGGGCGACAGACCAAAACTAGTCAAAAAAATGATCCACAAATCGTCCCCATGCTGTTTTTTATAACTATTTTTGAATATTCCTCCTGTACAGGGAGAGGCCCGACTTAACACTGAGGCAATGTCGCGAACCCAGGCAGGCCACGAAACAACTCCCCTGAGCTCGTGCCGGAAAACACGGGGCCAACTGGGATGCTAGCCACAAGTGGCTGGTGGCGGTTGACTCCGAGAAGCTCCTCATGCTTGTTCCGGCTCTCCGCCACTATGCCTCGAGGCACGAAATGGATTGTCCTCGGGCCCGTATGGGGCATCAAACTGATATCATTTACGGGGCTCACAGGCTGGAGCTCCGAGCGCGGAAGAAAGATTCTGAGTCGCGCTCCTGGGCGTTCTCGCAGATTCTCCGCTAGCTTCTCTGGAAGCAGGCCCGAAGGACCCCAAGACGGTCCAAGAGGGTTCCCAGTCGCCGGTAGATCGCTCCAAGACGCCCCAGACGGCCCCAGGAGGCCCCAAGACAGCCCCGGAGGCCATCAAGATGGCCGAAGATGGCCCCAAGAGGGGGAACACGAATTGATATTTCGCGCCTTCCGCCCAAAGATGACCCAAGACACCGGCATCAGGCCCCCAAGAGGCCCCCCAAAGCCACACGAGGCACCCAAGAGACCCAAATCAGGCCCCAGGAGTTCTCCAAGAGGCCGCCGAGAGGCCACACGCTGCCCCCCAAACCGCATCCGTTTCGAGGGGCCTCCCAAGAGATACCCACTGCCGTCCGTGGAACCTCTGACCCACAACCCAGTCGCGGTGACGGGATGGGCTGCAGGCTACTAGATCCGCCGCAACCTGTTGAGCTGCCACAGGTGTGCCCAGCGTGCTAAATCGTCCTGAGGTTCTGTTCCAAAACCCGGCCCGGCCGTGGCTGGCGCGCTGGGGCTTCGGCCCAGCGTGCTGGCCCAGCGCGCCGGCCACCCCGAAGGCTCTTCCAGAGGTGGTTGCAAACGTCTTTCCCGCTCCAGACTGCTCAAAGACTGCCCAAGAGATGGCCTCCAAGGCGGCCAAGATGGCCCTCAAGGTTGCCCAAGATGGTCGGAGATGGCCTCCAAGACGGCCCAAGAGCGTCCAATGCGCCTCCAAGTTTATCCAAGAAGCCTCCAAGACGGCCCAAGATGGCCTCAAGATGACGGAAGACGGCCCAAGAGGCCCCCAAGAGACCTCCAAGACGGCCCAACAGGCCTCCACGAGGTCCTCTGGGAAGGCCCGAAGAGGCCAAAATCATTAATTGTCCTGAGGCTTTGATGGATATTGGCATTTGCTTCTTTTCGGTCTTCGGACGGCCCGAGATGGCACAAGAGTCCCCAAAGATCGCCCCAAGATCGCCGAAGAGGCCTCCAAGATGGCCCCAAACCGGCTCCAAGAGGGTCCCAAGACGGCCTGCAAGACGCCCGAAACGGCCTCCAAGACAGCCCCGGCGCACCCCAAGAGGGCCCCAAATCGGCCGAGAGGCCCCCAAGATGGCTTCCGACGGCGTCAGACGGGCCAGGAACGCCCTAAGATGGGCAAAGAGGCCCCCGAGAAGCCCCCACAGGCTCCCAAGAGGCCCAAGGAGGCCCCCAAGATGCCTCCAAGAGGCTCCCAGGAAGCTCCCACGAGGCCCTAAGAGTGCCCCCAGAGGCTCCCGAGATGCCCCCTCCGCCCCCCCCTTACTCCTCCTCCTGATCTCCCCCGCCATCTTCCCCCAAGTGTTCCCGACGGTTTCCACAACGGCCGGGAGAACACATGGTCCGATAGCTTTTGCAGAGCTCTTGCCATCACGCTCGGCCACATGGGCGATTCCGAGAGGCAGGGGGCGGTGGTGATTCGACGTAGGCGTCTTCGATAAAATACAATGGAGGCCAGTCCACAAGAAACCTTCCGCAAGAAACCCAACCCTGAGACCCCAGAACGTCCATCGATTTTTGGTGCGGGAGCGCCGCGCTCTCCACCGCAAAACCAGGGAAGCCCAGGAAACTCAGGGCACCCTTGAGGCAGGGGGCCTCTTGGCAAGAGCCCCCCGCTGTAAGAACAACAGCATACAAACAACCTCTCGGAACTCTGCGCGGATCTCTCGGATCGGCGCAGAGCGCCCCCATCCCGCGAGCGGAGCGCGTCGGGGGCGACGCCGCCAGAGGGGAGGGGCAACGCCCATCCAAGGGATCCGCGCGGAGGTTCGGCAATTGGTGTGTATGCCGTCTGCTGTTATATTATCCGACTCTCATTTCTCTCCCTCTCTCCCTCTCCCACACACACACACGCCTTCGCATTCCCCGGCGTCCCCGCCATCCCTCTGCTATCCAATGTCTCGTGCGACCGCTCCTCTCGTCACGCTCCGCTAAGTTCGCGAGCGCCGCACCCTACCTTGCGTTCTGCTGCTCGGCACTTCCGGGGCTCTCGTCCTCGCCAGCGCTCTCTTCCCCCGCACTCGAATGCATCGCCCGATCTCTTGGCACCAGGCTTTGTCTCGTCACCCCCTCCAACCTATCCCCTGCTCCGACCCCACCCCCTTCTCAGAAGCAAAAGGCTGATTGCCTCACCGCTGTGCACACCGAAGCCGCTGTCCTTGCCACCGCTGCCCTTTTCTGGGCCGCCTTTGCCAAAGCCGGCGTCTTTGCCGAAACCTCCATCCTTGCCATAACCCCCAGCCTTGCCGCAGCTGCCATCTTTGCCGTAGCCCCCGTCCTTGCCGAAACCTCCGTCTTTGCCGCAACCTCCAGCACCATCCTCGGGAAGCACTTGGAATGGTAAATGGTAACCTTGGGGCTGCTGTTAGACGAACGGGCAATAACAGATTATGAATTCCACAACCCCAAAAAACATGTGTTCTGTGCAACGTGTCTACGAATTCGTCGATACCTGCGCCCTCCCACACCATACGGCTGCGTGCGGCTGCGGTCCATTTGCGGTTCCACCCGTGATCATATTTTGTGATGCGCGCGTAGTTCAGCCGCAACTCAGCGTCGAAGAAATTCGAAGCGCATGCGTCGCGAATCTTCAGTTCCATGCTCCCCGACTTGCGCAGCTCGGCTCGTAGTGTGGAATAGGTTATCCCTACTGACTCAGTGTTCTGACTTGGTGTCACATGTTCGCACTTGTGAAGCGCAATCGGCGCGGTGTACTGCGGCTTTGGACGTCCCGCAACTCGCGGATCGATACGCATGCCCCCCCTGAAGATATAAGTATGTCTCTCGCAGCGCCAAGCGGAGGAAGGTTCAGGTCATCCCAGTGTGCGCTGGGCGAGATGCAATGGATGCTGGACGCTGCCCCGCGAGCGTTGCCGCAATTCCTGTGGGTGGCCTCTCTGTAAAAGCAGGCCCCTCACGCTCGCTTTTGCGCCACAATAAGGTGGTTGCCAACGTGGACCTCGAACCAGTGCGTATGTGCAACCGAGGTCGTGCAAGCTACACGGTGCAGGGAACGTGGGACAATACAGGTGGCACAAGCTATGCGATGAAAGCTATGTGGTGCAACCTATGTGTTGTAAGACATGTCGTGCATGTGTAAGCATTGCGGCGCAAGCCATGGGGTGCACGATGTGTGGTGCAAGCTATGCAGTGCAAGCTACGTGGTGTAAGATGTGGTAGGCGCTCTGTGGGGCCTGCTACATGGTAAGAGCAATGTGGTGCAAGAGCACGAGGCGCCCAACACGCCCCATATGGACGCCTCTGCGCGGGCACCAGGCGAAACCTCGGCTGACACACCCAGCGCACGAGGCGCCCACGAGGCGCCCACGAGGCGCCCACTGGCGGGCGCCACCCAAAGTCTCGTCTGACTCACCCAGCGCACGACGGGCCCACGAGGCGACAACGGGCGGGCACCAGGCGAAGCATCGGCTGACCCATCCTATTCCTTGAAGATCAGATATGCGATCCACTAAGTGCAAGAACTGTTTAGGCAGACGAAGCACTGTGCGTGTGCGGAGGGGGCGCGCAGTCTGCACCAGGAGAGCGGTCAGCCAAGGATATCATCCTCGGAGGGCGATGCAGGGCGGCCTCCCTGGATGCAGCAGCACCCTCGCATCATTTCCACAACGACTCTCCCAGCCCAGGTCTCTGTCTCTCTCTCTCTCTCTCTTTCTCTCTCTTTTTGCGGATACCCGTAGGCCGTCTTGGCTTGACGGAATCGTGTAGAAGAATTGCCCTACCGGCCCACCTGCCCGGCTGGAACCCGACTCCCACAACAGAATTGGCACTCAGCGCGCTCAAGACGGACAGACTGCCCCCCCCGGGGAGTCAGAGCCCCCAGAGGGCGCCACCGGCACGAGCCACCCAGACGCAACTAGTGTATCGCTGCGGGGGGGGGGGGCAGGTCTGTGCCGGCCACGGATACCAGAGTGTCTGGGGCCCCGCAAAGCTTGCCAGAGAGACCCGAGCGACCCAAGGAAACGGCTCTTGCGTGAGAGAACTTGGCGACCGTTCGCGGTGGCCTACGCGGGGCGCTGGCGTGGCACGTGGCACACTACCTTGGAAACGAGGGCGCTGAAGCGCCACCTTGCGCAGGCAGCTTGCGCGCGACTGCTGGCACAGCCCGATCTAACTCAAAATCAATCAATGCCATGGACCACCAGTTTTCGGAGGATCTCTTCCCGAAGGGCGCTTCAGCGCCATCTTGCGCAGGCAGCTCGCGCGCGGCTGCTGGCACTGCCTGGTCCAACTCAAAATCAATCCATGGACCACCAATTTTCAGAGCAAGGGCTCCCAACTTCGCGCTTCGCGCTTCGCGCTGCGCGAAGCGCGAAGTGCGAATAACTTCGCGCTCTCGCGCCGCCTCCCAGGGGAGAAGAGGAGGATGAGGAGCAATCGGAGCCGAACCGAAAAGCGCGAATAACTTCGCGTCCTCGAGGGAACCCTTGCTGACTCAAAATCAATCCATGGACCACCAGTTTTCGGAGGATCTTTTCCCCAAGGCCATCTGCCGTTGTCTCCACTCGCCCTCCCCTGGCTCACTGCGCCGCGCTCACCCTGCTGGTGGCTCTCGGGCCAGGAGCAGCTCGGGAGTCCCGCGGCCGCTCGAGCAGATCCGGGCACCCCCCCGGAGCGCCCTCGGCGAGGCGCAGCCGCTGGAGAGCGCCCCGAGGCACAAGAACGGACGAAGGCCGACGAAGACGCCCGAAAACATCGAGGAGGAGCCGCCCCCTTGCGAACACGAACCGACGGTCCTGGCATTCCTGTAGGCCCATAGGCCTTCCACGACATGTTCGCAGAAAAACAAGAAATGCTCCAAGCACCAGAACAAGGTTCCTAGAACATAAGCCCGACGTGCTAAAACAAGACAATCCCAGCCAGAAGCGTCCCAAGAACATTCCGTGCAAACCACAAAAAGACCTTAGAACATCCCGTGGTGGGCTTAGCTGGGCGAGCCAGGACGGTCCGCCACTGCTGAACGAGCCCCGATCGAAAAAGAGCCGTCCCTTTCCGGCCACGCAGCGGTCCTTGCCGAAACTGCTCGGGCCGTCGGCGCCGAAGCCCTTGCCGCAGCCCTTGCTCGGCTCCTGCAGGCCCGCGGGAGCTCTCGCGGCGATGGCCGGGCGCACGCTGGCGACGACAAGGGCGGCGACGGCGATCGGCGACAAAACTGCGCTCAATACCTACCCACCGACGCCACCTCAGCGACGACCGAAACCGGGTTTTGCGCGAAATGGCGCGACCTTACGCATTGGCTTACGCGAGCCGCCAGCGCGGCACGCTGCAGTGGAAGCGAGGGCGCTTACGCGCCACCCTACACGGGCAGCTTACGCGCCAACGTCGGTGAAGACAACCCTCTTTTTTTGCGTCGCACCACTTTGGCGGCCCGCCCACAGGAGTAAGTGGAAGGGGGAAGGCTTCTTGGAAGGAGGTTGCTTCTTAGAAAACGCCGGCCCTACATCTACATACAACGCCCGCGCCTTCCAACAAGCAGGGGTGTTTCTAAAAAGCCTTCTCCCCGCCCCTACCCCCTGTTGCGCGTGGCCGAGGAGTGGCGTCGGCCCCTCCTCCTCCTACCCCTCCTCCTCCTCCTCCTCCTCCTCCTCCTCCTCCTCCTCCTCCTCCTGCCCCCTCCTCCTACTCCCCCTCTGCGCGTGGCCGACAGCTGTCCCCAGACGCCACCCGATGTCCATCTTGGCTGGCCCGCTGAGTCGCGTCAGGCCGCGGCTGCGGGAGCCTCGAGACAGGCTCCAAAAACCTCCACATCGACGATGACGACGACAATAATATGTTATAACATTTGACTCTGCGCTTCGCGCCCGTTCAGTTCACTTCGAAACGTTGATCTGCTTGGCCAACTTGGTGCGGCCAGAGGCTGTTCCCCTTTTCCAACGCTGGAAGATTCTCCAGCCCCGTCTTGGTGGGAGAGTCGCAAGGTTGCGCGAGCTTGCCCATCGATCTGACATTTGTGGTGTCGAGCCCCCCACATCGCGAGCAAACCAAAATACTTTTCTTGACCGCGCGCGTTCCCCACCTCCCACCTTCTCAACGCACGCGAAGGGTGAGCAGAGAGCCCCTTCCTGCACGGCCCCTCGATCCTCGGGGCCGCTCGCACGGTGGCAGGGATGGGGGCTGGAGAACAGGAGGATCGGAGCCAACGAATTCGAGCTCCCTTGGCTTTCGACGGAGGCTCGCTACCGCCCTTGCAGCACCTCCATCGACGGGTACGACGACCATTCACGACCGAACACTCCGTGAGATGGGCGGAGCGCCCAAGCTCATCCTGCAAACTGAACTTGTCACGGCCCTGCGCCTGGCTCGGTCCCGGTTTTAGCCCTCCTTCAGGTTTACAAGAAGGCATGGCAGCGAGGATACCTGCCAATCGGTCACGGACGTATTTGGACTCAGCTTCCAGTCCCCGCGCCGATTCCCAAGCCGGTCAGGGGCCTGCGCAACTGCCGGAAAACGATTGGCGAGATTGTCGGCCAAGTCATTGACTTAGGAAAGAACTCTAGTCTGATCAGAGGCTCGCTCGAGCTCGGCCTCCGTCGCATGACTAGCGACCTTCACCGCGAGGACACTTCGGTCGCCCCAGAAGTCTCGAGCGAGACACCAGAGATCGCGGCGGGACCTCGGCCTCCACTTGGCCTTCGAGCAGAGCCTGAAACATCCGCGCGGGACAGATGCGCTGTCCGTCACGCAGGCCAAATCACGCTCATGCGTGGCCCTCAAGGCCTCCACGCAAGCAGAAAGTTCAGTCGGGTCCCTGGGAGCGCACCGCCGAAGCTTCCAGAGGCCTGCAAAGGCAGGTTCGCCCGCCGAGGGTCAACTCCAAAACCAGCGGCGGCAACGGCCGAGGAAACGCGTCTCAATTTAGGGCGCGGAAAAAAAAACGGCCGCCTGGCGCGTCACCTGCAAGTCAGATTCCACCCCCTCTGACAGGCCTCCAAGCAACGGATGCGGGGCCGCGCCTGAAGAGGAAGGGGTCAGGGAGCTCCAGTGTCGGGCCGAGGATGACCTGCGAGTGGTCTGGCGGGCCTGGCACCGCTGCCCAATCCCGCGGGGTAAGCCCTCGGAGCCAGTAGCGAGGGAAAGAGACAACTCCCCCGATGGCCCGCCGCCAGAGATTCCGGGCATCCTCGCACCAGGGAAGCGAAGGATTAGCCGAGCAACCCCAACATAAATGAAAGTCGGACCCCGCTTCCCTCGCAACGCGGGCACAAATCCGAGTCGACCTTGACCCCTGCTTGAAAAGAGGCGAGCCTTGAGCCAATGCGCCGCCGCCATGACCGCGCTGAGGGCGCCTTGGAGCTAGTTGGCCCCTTGTCTGGCCAGCGCGCGCATCGCGGGCGCGGCGCCCGAAGTTTCGGCCCCGTGCTCCAGCCCCCCCCCCCCGCCCTTAAAAAGCTTCGACGCCTGCTTCCAAGCCGCGAGCCATGCAAACAGTCGAGAAGCCTGGCGGAAAGGGCTCCCAGTCTTAGTCTCGCTCAAATCTTCCTTTTTCACCGCGTGCCGATCTCCCAAGGGGCGGGCCCATTCCCAGGGTTCTTGGGGCGTCTAGCCAGTGGGCGAAAATGCCGAGATAACTTCCGAATAAGCCCGTCGACTTTACTCCGCCGGCGGTCTGGCGGGGTGGATGTTAAACGGCTCAAATTAATGCGCCGCGCTCGCCTAGCTCGCCGTCTTAACAACTCCGAAAGCCAGAGCATCTCAAACCAGAAGCTGGCGGTGGCTTTGGAAAAAGCAATCGCTGGGTCCTGATTCCCATAGCCGATCAGCAGCGCAGTGGCAGGTACCGACCCTTAGCTCTAGAGGTGGTGAACCTCCCAAGAGTCCTACGGAGGAGGGCCAGGGGCTGAGGAGCAAGGGGGATGACCTCCGTAGGGTATCCCATCCTAAGCACGAGCCCTGTGGTGGCCACCCCTCCGGCAGCCCGAGCCCCCCAGGGTGCCGCGGGCAAGTCTAGACAGCTTCCTGGCCTGTCATCCTGCCACCTTCCTGCAAGCACTGCGAAGCGTGGCGCGACGCCATCTACGGCGCCCCCTCTCGACGCCGAGGTCAGCCGCAGCTCCGCGGCTGCTTGCCCCGGGGCCTTCTGCGCGGAGTGCACGCGGCAACTCGGCTGCCAGAGCGCGGCCCGAGGCAATCGCCGCCGACTTGTCTGATTGCAGGAAACCGTCGGCAGCAGCTGCTCTTGAGAAGGCCGAGGTCGCTTCCGCCAGTGTGCCGACTAAACTGCCGCGCGGAGCCTCGAGCCTAAGTTAACATCATCGACCCAGGATTTGGCCACCCGGCCGCGAGGACAGGCTGCTTGTGAATCGTGCCCGAAATCGGGTATTACAGCGCCGCGGTCTCGTTTTAGCCGGCCGCGACCCCCAGAGAAGGGAGAATCTGCTCACTGCGGACGGAGCGCCCCTTCAAGATTCTTCGGCGACACGTAAGAGTGACCCTAGGCAAGAGTGCCCTTTGGTGCGCGGCCTCAGGGGGGCCCGCGGGCGCCTGGCGCAAGCGCGCGAGCCGAGGCCGTCGGATTGCATCAACGATCGGTGGGGCGCGCTTCGACAGGCCCCTAGCGCCAGCAAGGAATTGCGGACCTCCGCCAATTCGTTCCGGGCGCCCCAGAACGCCCGCCCGATGGCTCTGCGAAGTCAGACGTGCTCGGGCGCCACCGCGGAATGTTCTGGCACTGCCGGGCCGCATCGCGATGACGTCTGACCGGGTCCGGCGCCAAGGCCGACACTGGGCCGTAACTTGGCCCCCCCGCGGCCGCAAATAACTTTCAGTGGTAAAGAATTGAAGTGTAAAACGCGGAATGCGAAAAGTTATTCCAAATTCGTCAAAGTTGATCAAAATTAATCAAAGTTATTCCAGGACGATTTGGGACCGGTCCCAAAGCGGAGAGCACGTCGCCCGCTCGACTGTGCCCCCCTCGCCAAACGAAGCACGCGGCAGAATGCACCGTGCATGCGTTGCGATCGATTGCGAGGGGCGCGCCCTGAATCAAGCGCGCCCCGATGCGATCGCAGACTGGCGCAGCGTGCGCCGACGCGAGGCCGAGCGCACTCCTCAAGAGAAAATCTGTCCGACCCCATTAGGGCCAACACTAAAGGTCACTCTGGCCAAGGGCCACTCTTGCGCGTGGCCGAATTCTGGGGCCCAGGTAAAGCTGAGCGGAGAGGGGGGGGGGCCGGCGGGGGGGGGGCGAAGGACAGGGGGCCCATGCATGAACGGGCCTTTGCCGAGGGAATCGCAGAACTCCTTCGCATCAGAGAAGATGCTAGCATGGGCGATTTCGATGGCATCAGCTGCTTCATCGATGACATGCTTACTGGCCACTGCCCCAGGGAACTGCCGCCTCTGACAGCCGCATCCCAGAGGCCGACATGGAAGGTTCCTGAGCAAGCTCCAAAGGCGAGCGATCCAGCTGAGCAGCGCAATCGCCCTCTGACCCCCCGAGTCCTGTGGGGGGGGGCCTCGCTGATGGCGGGCAAGAGCTGCCAGGGCCGCGCGCGTTCGCTCTCGGCTTCGCGAGGCAACATCAACAGTTCATATTGTCCACCCCCTGTCCAGCGCAGACAGAGATCCGCCTCCCGCCCCAGGAGATGTTCCAAGGTGAATGGCGGGGGCTCCGCTTTGACGGCCAGGGCTCGGCCCCTGGCGACAGCCGACTGCGCCCTCTCCCAGGCAGCGATTTCGTCGGCAGGAGTCCACTCGCCCGCCCATCTCTCACGTCGCTGATTCGCGAAATGGAGAGGAGCGATGACACCATCGGAAACCAATTCAGACATCCTCCTAGGTGGCTTGAAACACCTGCGGAGGCCCCCCGCCCCATTCGGCAAATCTTCCGCCGCCCACAACTTAAACTGCCCATGGCCGGAGCTCCCAGTAGAGGACCGCTCGACAGTCTGGCGACCCGAGGGCCCGAAGCGCAGGCGCGGCCGACATGGCACTTGCGCCGGCCCTCAGGCAACTGGTTCATGCGACAGAAAAACAGCCCCGGGCGCTCGATCCAACTCGAAATCTGCGAACCCAAAATGCCAGATTGGGTCGGGAGCGTAAGGCCCGGGAGGGCTTGATAAAAGACGGA